TCCTCCCCAAAGAACTTCTCCAAGTTGAATGCCTTCACATCACCCTTGGCTGGTGTTGAAATAGATGCTATTGGTGCAAATCCGCCTGCAACTCCTCTTCCTGCTTCCCCAGCGCCTGTCACGCCACCACTGCCACTAGGACCAGCTAGAGCAGAACCTTCAGCCTCCATATTGACCCAGGGACATGTAGTTTCATTGATGCAAGGAAGAGGTGAGTACAACATTGCCTAGGGGACTCTTAAGGGGTTGGGATCATCCTGGGAACTCAGAGAAGGTTGATCCCTAGGGTAGAAAGGCTAGAGAAGGATGGGAAATGTCCTAGCTAGGTCAGCAAAGCCAACCACACTTGGATGTTCAGAGCTGTACTCAAGGCTACTAATAGTGAGTCAAGCCAACCATGAGTCAGCTTGTCTTCCCACTTGCACCCTTTTGCAAGCTGCTTCCAGGAAGACCACACTTCTCAAAAGGAGGGTGATAGAGTCCCACTTGACCACATGTACTTCTTGTCTCATTCTCTGTCCCTGCACCATTGGCATGACAACAATGAAAGGGTGGCAAGGGAAATGCTTCCAACAGTGCACCATGACTATGGAACAGTAACTTTCGACAGCTGTCACGTGCTGCTCCGATGCTAAGTTGTCCTGAAACTCGGTGACCATCTGAGCAACATGGCAAAGGACTGCCACACCGATTTTCAGACCAATCAGAGCTTGGTAGGTGAGTCAGTAGCCGAAATGGTGAACTCGGGTGTTACCAAAAAAGAGTAACACACACTTCCGGGATGCCATAAGTCTTGAAATAAAAAATGTTGCCATGCCTTGTAAACTGCTTCAAAACTTCTGAAACTTTGAGGGTGTAAAGAACACATGTTGAAGCACCTCCCTACAAAATTCCAGAATCTGAGCAGGCTTGTAGGCTGAATGGGAGTGCGATGACCGTGCCACTATTGTGCTTTGGCACAACAGGGCTTTGGTAGCAAAGGGCTTGGGCAGCAAAGAGATTTTTGCAAGAATGGAGGAGCCAGCAATGGGAAGGCTAGAGCAATGAGAAGACATCAGCAAGCGGGGGGACAGCAATAGTGGGGCGGCAATAGGGAACTTGGAAATCGAGGGGGTTGCAATAGAGGGGGTGGTAATAGAGGGGGAGGCAAAAGGAGTGGTGGTATGAGGGGGGACCGTTATAAAGAGGGGGGTGGCAAAGGCGTGTCAGAATACGAACAACAGAATAAAATTGGCAAGCAAGAATGGGATACAAATAGGGAACCCTAGAAGTGTTGTACTCTCTAGAGAGCACCTCAATGTAACCTAAAACTAGCACACATATACAATTTGGCACACCCCCATATGCTAGGTGAGGGGGATGACACGAGCAAGAGAGGCAACAACTCAGGGCGGATCAACTAATCCAACCACTAAGACAAGTGGTCACAAGACCAGTTATTCAAAGCAACAAAGGAAGGGATGCAACTTAGGGTGGTACGACTAGCTAGCCCCTGAGTCAAACGGCCAGAAGGCCACTTCAAGAGCTTTTGTATATATAAAGAACGACACAAGTAGAGCAAGAATTAAATGGCAAGTCTACAACAAACGAGGACATGTCTGAACAAGGCCAAGCTGCGAACATAAAATGTGGTGGTATCACGCGGGAGATCCTTAGTGAAGCTGTCCATAGTGTTGGCCGCTAAGGCCACAAAGACTAAGCGTGACTGGTCGCAGAAAATGTGGTGGTCACCATGCGGGAGATTATTGGTGAAGATGTCCATAGTGTTGGCCGCTAAGGCCACAAAGACTAAGCGTGACTGGTCATGCTGCACCATGTGTGACTGAGTCAGAGTGATTGTGCGCATAGCTCTGTCCCTGGTGATTTGCAAGCCAAGATAGCTGGGCAACTCACCAAGGTCAATGCAGGTGTGTGTCTTCTGCAGCTCTGACCTCACTGAAGCGAGGGCAACCCCATATGCAGTAGCAAAGACAAAGTTGTCCACGTAAACGAGGATGAAGAAAGAAAAATGAACAGTGACATGTCAGCGGAAGTAGGGCAGAACACGAGGGAAGCAAGAGTGGTACGCAGATTGTCGTGCCACGCATGAATTGCTTGGTTCAGTTTGTAGACTGGTCGTCTCAGGCTCCACTGGGTCCCAGGCGGGAAAGTGCCAGTGAAGCCAATGTCAGAACATTATAGATTTTACATTTGTGTAGGCTATAGTGGGGTAGCCCATAAGGGATACAACCCAATTAGGGTTAGTACTTGTACCCAACTGTTTCATAGTTCATCCATTCTCGTTCGTAACTTTTGACAGCCAAGAGGACGTCGAAGCCATATCACAAGGGAAGGAGGCGGAACACAACAAGGGAGAGTACGAAGGAACAGGGAGTGGAGGTCGGGATGGTAGATGAGGAACGAGCCCTTGGGGAACGATGGAGTTAGGGAGTAGAGGCAAGAGACAGAGAAGGAGGTAAAGGAGGAGTTAGCAATGGCCGAGGAGACGAACAGGCCGGAGACGCGTCCAGGGGAGAAAATGGAGGACATTGACATGTAGCAGCGTGCACACCTGGACTAGCAGCAACACAAGCACCTACACTAGAAACACATGCACCTACGCTAGAATAAGACAAATATCCTAGTGTGAGAATTGAAGAATGAATGATGGAATAGAAAATGTGTTGGGTACAAATATGAAACCCTAAGAGACTGTACCCCATAGTGTCTACCCCACTACAGCCTAAACAGGCTATGTGATCAATGTTCGACAATGGCCCCTGCGTAGATCTCAGCCTCACAACTGGAGCTGAGAATCGAAGACGAGCGAGTAGACCGCCAGGAAACAGAGCCAGAACCGAGGCTGAAGGTGTAACCCTGTGACGACCGCTGCGTAGCCAAGTCGTCAACCCAAGAAGCGTCTGTGTGACCAGTGAGGACAACTGGACCCCGTCCTCCAAGCAGAAGCCCCATGCCCGACGTACTGCACAAGTAATGCAGTACCCTCTTCGCAGCATCCCAGTGCGAACCGGACCATCATAGAGGGCGGGAGAACGATATTGGTGGACTTGGGTCTACCCTTGCGGTTCTGGCCCCTCGCTATTCGTCATGCTACCGTCATCAAGAACAGGGTGTTGACTCATGTGGGAGGTCAGCATTGGGTCCTTATGGAGAAGTGGAGTGGCAGGAAGCCCCTGGTGGATATGCTTCGTGTCTTTGGGTGCATGGGGCTCGTGCATGTCCATAAGGAATAGTGTGACAAGCTTCAAGCGGCGGCAGTGTGGGCTGTTCATTTGGGTCTCGCACGGGGGAGCAAGGGCTGGCTCATGTGGGACCCAAAATCCAACACCATCTTCACCACTAGAGATGCCAAGTTCATGGAGGGGCTCATGTTCAAGGAGTGGTCGGAGCGAGGGAGGAGCAAGGTCACCATTCCGCTTGGAATAGAGGTGGGAACGAACGACCCATTTCTCATTCCCATCGAGTTGTCCTCATCTTCAGAGTTGACAGAGGTGTCACATGACTTGGGAGGTGTTGAAGGGGAGGCAGCAGATGCGGAAGGAGTATTGCAGCAAGGGGAGGCCCCTGTAGCTGAGAGAGGTGATAACGAAGAGGAGGTGCAGCAGCCTACACCATCCCCTAAGCTTCTACCAAGGCGCACAACCCAAGGGAAGCGTGATGTTGTCCGTGGTGGAGCCAAGGAAGGAGCAGCCAAGGAGAGGCCCAAGAGAGCTGCCCACCCAAGGGATTTTCTCAAGTATGAAAGGCTTGGGGTTCCCAAGGCAATGCTGGTCCAGGAGGAGGAAGATGAGGAGGAGAAGGGAGCCGAGGGGGAGATGGAGTAGATTTGTTGCTTTGGCGTCAACTTACCTCATGAGCCAGCGTCAATGGAGGTAGCTCTCGCTGGAGATGATCGAGAGGCTTGGTTGGCTTCAAGGGAGGATGAGTTCAAGAGCCATATGGAGAATGAAACGTGGACCCTCACCAATTTGCCCCCGGGAAGAAAGGCGTTGGATTGCACGTGGGTGTTACGTGTAAAGACCGATGCGGAGGGGAAGTTGGAGAGGCGCAAGACAAGGCTTGTGATCAAGGGCTTTCAGCAGAGAGAGGGGATTGACTTTCAAGAAGTGTTTGCTCCTATTGCCAAGGCTTCTATGCTCCGGGTGTTGCCAGCAGCCGCTGCCGTTTGTGGCTGGAAGGTGGAGCAAATGGATGTGAAGACGGTGTTCCTCTATGGCGTGGTAGATGAGGAGATCTACATGAAGCAGCCAGAGGGGTATGACGATGGGAGCGGACGTGTTTGTAGCCTCAACAAGGCCATCTATGGCCTCAAACAAGCTCCAAGGTGCTGGTATGCAAGGCTGGTGGAGGCGTTGGAGGCTCTTGGCTTCAAAGTTAGCGGGTGCGGCGAGAGTCTCTTCACGACCGAGGGGGAGGAGGAGAAGGTGTTTCTCATTGTCTACGTCGTTTCAGCTGCAAGGTGTATGGCCACTGTGGGCTCAACATGAAAGTGGCCGTTGCCGTGCACAAGTGAGGCTATTGCTTGCTAAGCGGGAGTAGCCTGTTACTTCAGAGAGTCTCAGCTGAGCTGAACCGCACATCAGTTCGTGGGCCTTACTGGGAGAAGGCCCTACGTACTACTGATGCATATCCTTTCGAAAGTGAAGCATTGTGCTATTTATAGTTTCAACGAATACAATTTCCGTAAGCAGGTGGAATGCTCGGATCGAATCACCCCCTATCTGAGTGAATTCCTTCGGTAAGTGATTTTCCAGGCTGGAAGTGATACCTACTTGAGCACATTGAAACACTTGCTTGAGAATAAAATGTAGGCAGGAAAGATGTAGTTCCGTAGCAGTGCTAGTCATTGCTCCGCGCAACCATCATTAGTGCTTGCGAGAACGAATGATGAGCATTGACACATTCCACCCCATAGCCTGTCGGATGCTAGCATGTTATGTTACAGCATGAGGAACCTCCCTTGTGCTGTTCTCATCACGCTCCCTCATGCAGGGCACACCTCATGCGTGCTTCTTCATGTCGAATATCTCCGTCAGCCATGCGAGCATCTCCTGCCGTGTCAGCACTCGCACCTTGCATGCTCGGCTCTCCACGATCGATCTGCCACGCCATGTCATGTCATGTCGAACCGTGCCAACGAGTCATGCCAAGAACACACAGAAGAAGCCAAATGCTATGAGATGGAGCTGACATATGGCATGTGTGTTGCATGTGTGTGGTGTGCGTGTCAACATGTGTGTGGCATGCATGTGGCATGCATGTGGCATGCATGTGGCATGTGTGTCGCGAGTGGCCTGCCAGGACTTTGGACAACCCACCGTTTCCACCCACCTCCATCAAGGAACACACTCTTCTCTTGCACCTCCATCGTGCACCTCTTCCCCTCGATTTCTCCCAAGCTCATCCCTCTTGATTCCTCATCGCCTCCCCTTCTTGCTGCTTCTCCCTTCCTTACTCCGCACATGCCTCACTACCCCACCTCCAACACATCCCTCAACACGCGCCCTCCATCGCCTCAACAGCACCACAACACGGGGACTGGGAGTCCCCTCCAGCGCACCGCAACACGGGGAGGGAGTGGGAATGGGAGTGGGAGTGGGAGTGCCCTTGGCGCACCTGTGACGGTCGAGGACGTCGGAGTATCGGAGCAGCACCTGCGAGGCCACCTCCCCCCGCACGAACGTGCGCAGGTCGCCATTCCCAATGCTCCACCCGCTCTGCTGCGCCTGCACGCCCTCCAGCACCCCGTGCAGCGCCTGCACTCGCTTTGTGAACGCCGCCACGTCACCCCGGTGGTCCGACAGCACGGCGCCCACCTGGCAGGGTGGGTGGTGGGGGGACGAGCATGGGCATCCATGGTGCGCGTGGGTGTGCTGTGAGAACTCTGCAAAGTGCATCTGGAGACTGGAAGTGAGCTGCCAGGGAGCGGGGGAGGGCGTGAGGCTTGGTTCATCAAGGCTTGGTTCATCAAGGCTTGGTTCATCAAGGCTTGGTTCATCAAGGCTTGGTTCATCAAGGCTTGGTTCATCAAGGCTTGGTTCATCAAGGCTTGGTTCATCAAGGCTTGCTTCATCCAGGCTTGGTTCATCAAGGCTTGCTTCATCAAGGCTTGGTTCATCAAGGCTTGGTTCTTCAAGGCTTGGTTCATCAAGGCTTGGTTCATCAAGGCTTGGTTCATCAAGGCTTGCTTCATCAAGGCTTGGTTCATCAAGGCTTGGTTCATCAAGGCTTGGTTCATCAAGGCTTGGTTCATCAAGGCTTGGTTCATCAAGGCTTGGTTCATCAAGGCTTGCTTCATCAAGGCTTGGTTCATCAAGGCTTGGTTCATCAAGGCTTGCTTCATCAAGGCTTAGCGTTCATCAAGGCTTGGTTCATCAAGGCTTGGTTCATCAAGGCTTGGTTCATCAAGGCTTGGTTCATCAAGGCTTGGTTCATCAAGGCTTGCTTCATCAAGGCTTGGTTCATCAAGGCTTGGTTCATCAAGGCTTGGTTCATCAAGGCTTGGTTCATCAAGGCTTGCTTCATCAAGGCTTGGTTCATCAAGGCTTGGTTCATCAAGGCTTGGTTCATCAAGGCTTGCTTCATCAAGGCTTGGTTCATCAAGGCTTGGTTCATCAAGGCTTGCTTCATCAAGGCTTGCTTCATCCAGGCCTGAGATCGGGTTTTTCCCCGTGCTAGGCCGAAACATGTTACTGATGAAGGTCTGATCGGGTTTTTCCCCGTGCTAGGCCGAAACATGTTACTGATGAAGGTCTGATCGGGTTTTTCCCCGTGCTAGGCCGAAACATGTTTGTCCCTGTTTTACTCTACTGCTAAGAATTTGGGTTCTGAGATCGTTTTGAGCACTTAGTGGTACACAGTGCGGAAATCTACTGCTGTTTTTTCCTTTGCTTTAAGCCTCCTGCACGCACGCAGCTCACTGAGCTATGTCTGGATCTCGCGTGCTTCATCAAGGCTTGCTCGTCCCCTCGATGATCCAATAAAGTGGTGGCCATCTGATCGGGGTGTTGCTTGGGGGCGCGACGAGTGGTTGTATGGCTGTATGAGATTGTCATTCTTCAAAGGTTCTTGTTCGGCAAGGAAGGTACGAGATTCACAAGGTACGAGAATCACAAGGTACGAGATTCACAAGGTACGAGATTCACAAGGTACGAGATTCACAAGGTACGAGATTCACAAGGTACGAGATTCACAAGGTACGAGATTCACAAGGTACGAGATTCACAAGGTACGAGATTCACAAGGTACGAGATTCACAAGGTACGAGATTCACAAGGATGCAGATTGTTGGTTCTCAGCGCAGTAGAGAAAGTCAGACTGCAACCTCCATTTGAGCGTGCAAGCCCATTTGATGATATGGCAGCCTTCCTGCCAACCTGATACAGGAGTTGCCATTCTTTGTTGTGTTCCCACCTTATCAACGGTACATAACATGCAGCCACCTCACCTTATTCACAATACATCGAATGTAGACGTCTCGGTGCTTCTCAAGGTCCTTTGCATTTTCGTCCACCCATGCCCGCCCAAGGATCATCTTCACATGCTGCCTGCCATGCCCATCACAACACATCCATGCACACCGCATCATTCCAGCTGGGTACGCAATCACACGACCATAAAAACACCACACCTGTGCCACACGCGTACCACAACTACTATTACCACCAATAGTGATGATAATACTAACAAGAACAACAGCAACAGCAACAGTAGATACCAAGCGGATATCGACAGGGAGCGACGCACTCCTCCACCTTGCGCTGGATGTACTCGCAGTTGTTCATGAGGAACACGGCGCGCATCGCCTCATCGTGAAACGCGTCTCCCTTGCGCTCCAGATTCGCCTTCAGCGCCGCCAGCAGGTGCCGCGTGGCAGCACCCACGCGCACGGCGCCCTGGTGGTGGTCGCCCCCCTCGTCGTACACCAGCAGCAGTGTGCCCAGGTACAGCGTCCTGTGCGGCACGGGGCACACCGACACGCCGCATTGGGAGGGGCGTGTCGGGTGGGGTGAGGTGAGGGGATTGGAGCGAAAGAAAACGGTGGGAAAGAAGGGAAGAGAAGTGGGGTGGGTGGCCTCGTGGGAGGCACCTTGGCAGAACGCATGAACGTCATGATCCTTGCTGGTGGGGGGGAACAGATAAGCTGACCACGCAGCTGGCCACCTCAAGCTGATGCACGTGAGGGTGTAAAGTGTGTTTACACATTACCTCAGAGCGTAGAATGTGCTTCCTCAACACCTCCGAGTACAGGGAATGGTTACACATGACATCATATGCCATCATATGACATCATATGCCATCACATCACATGACATGACATGACATGACATGACATGACATGACATCACATGACATCACATCACATGACATCACATCACATCACATCACATCACATCACATCACATCACATCACATGACATGACATGGGTGAGGGGCCACGCACTGGTCGAAGTAGAGCAGGATGAAGTTCACCACGTAGCTCGTCAGAGGGTGCACGTCCGGGCTGCCTCTCACAACCACCTCCTGCCCTGCCGACCCCCCACCCTCCTTGCTCTCCGCCTTGCCCCTTCCACGCGCCTCGCCCTTGCCCTCCTCGTGCCCCTTGCTGACCTTCTTCGGCAGCAGCCCCCCCAGGATGCCCCTCCCGCTCGACGAGCTGCCGCTGACCGTCCGATTGTGCGACCCACCTCCCCCGTGGTGAGATCGATGGCTGGCATCCGATCTGTGGCTCGAGTCCAAATCCTCCTCCCCATGACTCCCCCATCCCCCCTCTCCGTCCTCCTCCCCCTTCCTCTCCTCGCCCCCCTCCTGGCCAGCGGCTGAAACCAAAGGAGGAGGAGGGGGGAAGGGGGGGGTGGTGGAGGAGGTGGAGGAGGAGGGGGGGAGGGGGGGGTTGGGGGCGGGGGGCGGAGTGGGGTCGTGGAGCACGATGTGCTGGAAGTCAGCGATGGTGCCCCTCACCGTGCGACACAGCGCCGCGCAGATGCCCACCAGATGCTGCCGCACCTCCCCACCCGCCTCCCCAGGAAACTGCTTCTCCACCTGCCGGGAGACAGGTTGGGGAGGGGGAATGGGGAGATAAGGAGGTGGGGCCAGACGCAATGGGCAGTGCAGGGGGCTGTGCAGGGGGCAGTGCAGGGGGCAGTGCAGGGGGCAGTAGAATGCAAGTAGTACACAAGAAGGACGGATGGGATGCTAACAAGTAGCCGGCTTGCTCTAGTGTAGGGTGTATCAGTGGAGTTGATCCTAAATTGGATTAACCAAAGGTGTTACGTCGGATTAAATCGCCTGAGGTGCCCACCTTGACGAGAACACCTGAGGCGATTGCAGAGAGTTGTGAAGGTGGGGGTGGGAGCGGGGGAGCAGAGACGGCATTGCGCGGTGGGGGAGCTGCTGCTTGACGGCGCGACTCACTGCTGCTTGACGGCGCCACATGCTACTGCAGGGCAGGGCATGAGTGAATGACTCACAGCAGGGCGCAGGTCGAGCAGCGCTTCAACCATCTCGAGCAGCGAGAAGACGTGCTCGGGTGCGCGCGGCATGTCAGCGATGATGTCGCCAAACGCGTGCAGCTGCTTCAATGCCGGCACCGCCACGCCCGTCAGACACCGCGCTCGAGCGGAGGGGGAGGAGGAGGGGCCGCGCCCGATGATTTCGCAACACATCGCCTCTTCGGCTACGATCAGCACCAGCATCTGCACGCACGTGGACGGGGTTTTGTAAGTGTGGGTGTGAACAGTAGGTGGGTGTGAAGAATGAGCCTTGCGGCATGAGCTGATGTGAGTGTAGCTGCTTTAGCAGTGGCAGCGCCGCAGCCGTCAACGCCAGGCAGCGACCAACGGGAACAGGAGTGGAGTGGGAGGAGGAGTTACGTCGGAGAGGAAGAGAAACAGGAGAGGGGGAGAAAGCAGGAGAGGGGGAGAAAGCAGGAGAGGGGGAGAAAGCAGGAGAGGGGGAAAAAGCAGGAGGGGGGGAGAAAGCAGGAGAGGGGGGGAAAGCAGGAGAGGGGGGGAAAGCAGGAGAGGGGGAGAAAGCAGGAGAGGGGGAGAAAGCAGGAGAGGGGGAGAAAGCAGGAGAGGGGGGGGACGCAGGAGAGGGGGGGAACGCAGGAGAGGGGGAGAAAGCAGGAGAGGGGGGGAACGCAGGAGAGGGGGGGAAAGCAGGAGAGGGGGGGAAAGCAGGAGAGGGGGAGAAAGCAGGAGAGGGGGGGAACGCAGGAGAGGGGGGGAAAGCAGGAGAGGGGGGGAAAGCAGGAGAGGGGGGGAACGCAGGAGAGGGGGAGAAAGCAGGAGAGGGGGAGAAAGCAGGAGAGGGGGAGAAAGCAGGAGAGGGGGGGAAAGCAGGAGAGGGGGGGAAAGCAGGAGAGGGGGAGAAAGCAGGAGAGGGGGAGAAAGCAGGAGAGGGGGAGAAAGCAGGAGAGGGGGAGAAAGCAGGAGAGGGGGAGAAAGCAGGAGAGGGGGAGAAATCAGGAGAGGGGGAGAAAGCAGGAGAGGGGGAGAAAGCAGGAGAGGGGGAGAAAGCAGGAGAGGTGGAGAAATCAGGAGAGGGGGAGAAAGCAGGAGAGGGGGAGAAAGCAGGAGAGGGGGAGAAAGCAGGAGAGGGAAAGAGAAGCGGGGGATGGAGAGAAGCAAGCAAGGGAGAGAGAAGCAGGAGAGGGAGAGAAGCGAATATGCAGCGTGCAAGCCTTCTCAGCAGCACAGAGGCAAGGCCAGAGCGGACTCAAATGGGGCCAAGCCCTCCTACAGAGCCGCCTGGCCTCGTAGCACCAGCTTGCGACCGGCTCAGTGCTCATAGCTATTCTCCACCCCTTGTTACCATTAGCTTGAGGTTCTCCACCCCTTGTTACCGTGAGCTTGAGGTTCTCAACCCAGCGCTTCATGAGGGGCTCGAGGTCGGCCCAGGGCAGCGCCACCACCTCGTCGCGCGTCCACGCTGCACTGCCCAGCCGCTCCAAACACCGCAGCAGCGCTGCTGACCGCTGCTCCCTGCACGCAGCCACGGGCAAAGAGGCCGGGGTGGGTTGAAGGGGACGAGGGGAGACGTGGATGTGGGGAAGTGCGTGTGCAGGGAGGGGGAGGAGAGGGGGGGAGGGGGTTTTGAGCGGATGGGAGGTTAAAAGGTGTTGATGGGGGACGAAGGACGGGGATGACACGTGTTTTGACATAAAAGACCCCGAGATGGCTAGGCATACAATGTGCATTCACGTGTCGACGTGCTGCACTGCACATAGTGGAACAATGAGAAGCAAACACAACTTACTCGTATACTCGCAGGCATGCTGCCTCGTACTCATTGCCCACCATCCATGCTGCCATGGCTCGAAGCGGCTTCACAGCCTCGGGCCGAACCAGAGGCACGGGCGGCACCACCTCGCCTGGCTTCATGCACGCCGCGGATTGGACGAGCGCCTTCCGATCCGGTACCAGGCTGCACGCCAGGGAGGACGGCGGTGAGGTGCGGTGGGGCGCGGAGGGGTGAGGTGGGGTGGGGTGGGGGTGCGATTCGGTGGAGTTGAGGTGGGGGGCGGATGGATTGGGTAGGGAATGGGGAGAGCGTGGGGAGGGAAAGGGATGGCGTGGGAAGGGAAAGGGATGGCGTGGGAAGGGAGGGTGGAGGGAAGGCGGAACGAGGGGGAGGGCGGCGGAACGAGGGGGGAGGGTGACGGAACGAGAGTGGAGGGAGGAAGGAACGAGGGGGGAGGGATTGGGAAGGAGAGTGGAGGGAGGCGGAACGGGGGGAAGCGAGGGGGAGGGAGAGATGAGCGAGGGGGGAGGGAATGAGGATGGATGAGGAGGGAATGGACAGCACTAACAAAACGAACACCTACCCTAGCCCACCTTGCACCGGACAGCACCTCTCCGAACTCCTCTTTCAATCGCCCCACCGCATCGTCCATCAGCCCCTTCCCCTGCCGCAGCTCCGCGCGGCAGCTGCCCAAATAGCTGTGCGCCTCGAAGAACCGCAGCGCGTCCGATAGCTTATCGAGCGCCGTGAGGTACGGGTCTAGCCGGTTCTTAGGGCCGGGCGCGAGCTCTGGCGCCACCTGATTGGTCGGGAAGGAGGACAGAGCAGAAAGCAATCTTAATTTTAACAAAGATAGGTGTACTGCTTTCATGGATGCGCCAGTGGAGAAACCTTACGACAAGTCTGCAATGCACCACTGGTGCATTATAACGCGTACCAACGTGGGCGTGTCAAGCTTCTCAAGAAGAGTGCGTGGATCTCGTTTTACGATGTTATCGAAGCCCTTGTTACCACCACCGCCCGCTACAACGCCATTCGCTGTCTCTACCTCACAACCCTCCTCCCCTTTTTCCGCGGCATCACCACTCCCGCGCATCGTGGCTGCTTCCGCCACAAATTTGTTTGTTAGATGAGAGTTCGCATCGAACGAAAAACTACGAAAAGGAAAGTCGAATTTTGACGATAGCCTGGTGCCGTCATCACACTGCGGTTAGTAGGGCGGGACAAGCTTTTTGACTTTCTCTGTCGTGAAGTTCTCGATGAAGATGGCTAGTTGTGAAGTGCACTTGCAGTCATTTCATGGCATGATTACAGCGGTAGGGGTCCTCAGCATTTCTGCTTGCTTGTATTGTGTACTCTATTGAATTTCGCGTTCATAACCATAGTGAGCGATATACTGTAGTTGCAAAATCGCCTTTTTTAAGTTCTCTATCTTAAAGGCCCAGGCCAGAATTACCGAGTCGGGTGGCAAAGTGTCACCATGCGATTGGTCCAGATTTTCAGTTGGTTTTCGACGGGATTGGTTTTCGAATTTCCAATCGGACCTCCTTCTCGGGTTTTCCAAACCTACAATTTCCCCATTGACTTAGTTGTGTAATTTGGGTCTTGGGTTTTAAGGTGATAGAATCTTACGGGAAAAAGGTGGTTTAGACTATCGAGAGGGTTGGTACAAAGTGAAAACCCAAGGGGTTGTACCCCACAGTAAGTACCCCACTAAGCCTACCCAAACTATAACACATATATGCATATGTTTGACACACCCCCATAGGCAAAGTGGGGGAAAAGAGAGGGTCACAAGACCAGTCAGGAAGTGCAAAGCAAGCTCAGGGTGGATCACAACGTCACCACGCAGTCTGAGCACAAGCAAGAAGGCCACAAGGCCAGTTCACATGCATAAATATATATGTAACAGCAACAGTACAGTGATATCTACCTACAAGAACAAGTATGCAGGAATACATATAAATCATGGTACAAACAAAGCCTACAGCAAGTGAGGAAGAGTGGGCACAAGGCCTAACAAAGTGCAGAAACGCTGATGATCACCAGGCGGAAGCGCCTTGGTGAATATATCAGCAGTGTTGGCCCGAGTGGCCACGTAGGTAAGACGAAGCTGGCCACGCTGCTGCAGCTCTCGAGCAAGAAAGTAACGGAGAGCGATGTGCTTTGTTCAGTGCTCCAGTCTGTGCTCCTGACACAAGGCAATGGCGGCCTTGTTGTCGACGTACAGAACTGGAGGAGAACGAGGCCTCTCTCCCAAGTCGGTCAGCAGGTAGGTGAGCCAGCGCAGCTCCTGTGCAGCCATGGCTGTGGCGTAGATCTCTGCCTCACAGCTGGAGCCGAGAACTGAAGACGAACGTGTAGAACGCCAGGAAACTGAACCAGAACCAAGGCTGAAGGTGTAACCCTGTGACGACCGCTGCGTAGCCTGGTCGTCAACCCAAGAGGCGTCCGAGTGACCTGTGAGGACAACGTCACCCCGTCCTCCAAGCACGAGCCCCATGCCCGATGTACTGCACAAGTAGCGTAGTACCCTCTTGGCGGCATCCATGTGCACCTATCGATGCCGACCAGGAGCCACGTAGCGAGCCAGAAGGCCAAGAGGGTACGCAAGGTCAGGACGAGTGCAAGTCATCAGGTACATGAGGCAGCCCACTAACTCTGGGTAAGGACCACTCGGCTCTACGGACTCGTCCGAAGGTGGAGCTGAGAGCGAGTGACCTGTAGCCAGAGGAGTGGCCTGTGCTGAGGACCAGGTGAAACCGAAGCGCTGAAGGACCTACTGCACCATGTGTGACTGAGTCAGTGTGATGGTGCGGCGTGCTCTGTCCCGGGTGATCTGCAAGCCAAGGTAACTGCGCAGTTCACCCAGGTCTGTGCACGTGTGTCTCTTCTACAGCTCCGACTTCACCAGGGCGAGAGCCTCAGTGTCAGCAGTGGCAAAGACCAAGTCGTCGACGTACACGAGAACGTAGAACGGCGGCAGAGAAGTGTCGGTGCGCAAAAACAGCGACGGGTCAGCAGTCGACGGAGCAAACCCAAGAGCCGCAAGTGTCGTCCTCAGTGTGTCGTGCCACTCACGTGGCGCCTGGCGGAGACCGTAGACTGGCCGCCGGAGGCTCCACTGGGTACCAAGAGGGAACGACCCAGTGAAGCCAGGAGGGCGGCGCAGCCAAATCTCCTCGTGCAGGCTGCCGTGTAAGAAGGCTGTGCTGAAGTCAAGAGAGTGAAGCTCGTAGTCGCGCTGAGCGGCAACGTGCTGCAGCACCCGAAGAGTGGACATCTTCGGGGTGGGGGAGAAGGTCTGGAAGAAGTCAACTCCCTCTCGCTGACTGAAGCCTCAAGCCACGTACCGAGCCTTGAAGACAGGCGGAGAACCTGGCGGCCGCTTCACCCTGAAAATCCACATGCCACTGACAATGTTCGCCCCAGGAGGGGGAACCTCGTCGACGTAGGTGCCTGTGGACTTCCAGGATGCCATCTCTGCGTCCATGGCTGTCTGCCACTGAGAGGAGTACTCACCCGCGATCGCCTCAGCGTAAGAGCGCGGGGTAGGGATGTCTGGTGCATCCAGGTCTCCCTCAGGGGCAAGCATCATGGATACGAGATGAGGCGCAGCGGCTGCAAGACACTCAAGGTCCTCCTGCCTGTCCTCAAGGACGTCCGTGCCAAGAGCACACTCACCCCCGACGGACGGAGGACAGACAGACGCAGACTCAGCAACAAGACTGGCGGCGTAGTCTAGACGACAGTGAGCAGCAAAGGCAACAAGCTCAGTGACTAAGGCAGACACAGCAGCAGACTCAAACGACGGGTTAGTGACAACAGTGGCAAGCAGACGCGTGACAGTAGAGTGCTCAGCACGAAACCGGTCAGACGCAGGGTCAGCAACGACAGGCAGAGAGGACGCAGGGGGAGGCGGCAGAGGAACACGCGGAGAAGGAGAGGAAGGACGACGAACTACAAGGGGAGGGCCGGAGACAGCCGGCTGGCTCTGACGAGGAACACGACGACCGGTAAAGACAGGGGAGACAGGACGCGACGCAGGCTCACGACGCTCTGCAAGGCCACCAGGCTGCTCTGTGTACGGAGAAGGAGCAGGCAGCGTTGAGCCAGGCTGTAACGGAAGACCAGTAGACGAGGGAAGACAGAGAACCTGACGAAGTGCAGAGTCAGGTGGTGGCTGAGACGACGGAGACGGCGGAGCAAAGAACAGGCGCGGCTGAGTAGTGCCACCAGCACGAGTAGCACCAGCCCCTCCAGCAGCGCCAGTACCTCCAGCAACTCCAGCACCCCCAGCAGCTCCAGCACCTCCAGCAGCTCCAGCACCTCTAGCAGCTCCAGCACCCCCAGCAGCTCCAGCACCTCCAGCAGCTCCAGTACCCTCAGCAGCTCCAGCACCGCCAGTAGCTCCAGGACCTCCAGCAGCACCACCACCAGCCCCAGCAGCTCCAGCACTCCCAGTACGAGCACCTCCGGGACCAGCGACACCAGCAGAAGAACCTCCAGCAGGAGAGCCCTGAGGTGCAGAAATGGGACGCTGACGGCGACCGTACCAGTCGTGCAGCTGCTGGGAGGTGAGGGGCACACGCGGACGAAGACGGCTGCTCCAAGGAGACCGCGGAACAGCAGTCTCAGAACCCTCAGGCGACTCACCCCCAGACTCAGCACCCCCAGGCTCCGCACACACAGGCGCAGCACCTCCAAACGTAGTACCACGAGACGCAGCACCTCCAGGCTCCTCACGCGCAGGCTCAGCACCTCCAGGCCCCACACGCTCAGCACCCCCAGACTCAGCACCCCCAAGCTCCGCACCCCCAAGCTCCGCACCACTCGCAGCAGGACCGGAGTCACTAGTGACCTCAACAGGCGCAGGCGCAGGGGGGTCTACCCGAGAGACACCTGAAGGAGCAGGACCTGGCGCGGGGAGGGGGTCTACCTGGGGAGGACCTGGGGCGAGAAAGAGCGGCGGGGGGGGGCGAGGAGCAGTGCGGTAGGGGAAGAGGTGGTAAAAGGGGACCGACTCGTCAAAGGTGACGTCCTGAGACGCAAAGACACGGCGCGAGGCGGGGTCGTAGAACTGCCAGCCAGGCGCGTCAGGGACAAAGCCAAGGAAGACGCAAGGAATGGCGCGAGGGGAGAGCTTGTCCGCGGTGGTATCGCGGACAAAGGCACGAGCACCCCAGACCTAGAAACGCGACGCGTTGCCAACCTTCCCCGTCCACAGCAGTGTGGGCGAGGTCTCCGGCAAGGAGACACGGGGCCAAAGGTTGAGCTGATGCGTGGCGTACCGGACCGCAAAAGGCCACAGAAAATGGGGGGCAGCCGCATGGATCATGGAGGTACGAGCGACCTCCATGACTAAGCCAATGCGGCGCTCAGCAACCCCATTCTGCTGCGGAGAGGCCGAAAGCGTGAAAGTCTGGCGGATGCCGTGCTCCGCACAGAAGGCTGCCAAGAGGTCTGAGGAGAACTCACCACCTCTGTCCGAGTGCAGACGCAGGACAGGAAAGTCCGACTGGAACCGCTCGCGGAGCTGGAGACGAGTAGCGCGGATCCAGGGGATCAAAACATCAGGGACATCCCCCTTGCGCTGCAAGGGGAAGACCGTGGTGTAGCGCGTGTATTCGTCGACAACCAGCAGGAAGTACCGCTCCTTGCCCTGTCCACGGACGCGGGCTGGGCCCCACACGTCCAGGTGGAGAGTCTGCGGTGGAGCCTCTGTGGGAGGGAACGAGGAGGAGTGAGGAGCGGCGCGCTGCCTCCCCTCGACGCAGGGAATGCAGGGCGGCGCAGGCGAGGGAGGGAGGGGAGGCAGAGACCTGGGAAGCCCAGAAACCAGGAGGCGGGAGTGCATGCTGCGTAGGCGAGACAGGGAGGGGTGACCAAGGCGGTGGTGCCACAGGAGAGTGTCGTGCGACAGCCGGCGACACTCACATTGTGTAGCTACCTGAGCAGACGCGTGCAACTGGGGAGACAAAGGGGCGGAGCGTGACGCAGTGGTGAGGGTGTACAGACTGGACCCCGGCGCACGAGCGAACGTGGCCAGGTGGCGACCAGTCTGGGAGCACGTGCAAATCGCCACACGCTGCCGGC